GAGACAGAGTCTCACTTTGTTGCCCAGGCTAGAGTGAGTGCCGTGGCATCAGCCTAACTCACAGCAACCTCAAACTCCTGGGCTCAAACCAATCCTCCTGCCCTTAGCCTCCCGAGTAGCTGGGACTACAGGCATGTGCCACCATACCCGGCTACCCCTCCTCCAATCTTTAACACTGAGATGAAAAAACTTCTTTTTCTGTCTAAGGTCAAACAGATTAGTTAGTAGTAGAAGAATAAAAAACCCAAATCAATGAGATTTTAAATAAAAAGAAATAGCCAAAACTCTTTTGGATTTAATATTATTTACAAGAAATAACGAACATTTTATGTACCAATAGTATGAATCAAGTGCTTAAAAAAAACTCATATGTAGAGTAACTTACAATTCTACGTAGAGAAGAATTATGTGTGGGATATGATTAAAAACACTAGAATGTTTAAATGGGAACTGGACTGGGGAAGGATGAGAGGATTTCAAATATGTGAGAACAATTATGGTGCTGGGGACTGAGTAATCTTAGTATGCTTTCATGAGCAAAACAGAACTGTAGGTTATATTTAAACCAGCCTGAGCAAGAGCGACACCCCCGTCTCTACTATAAATAGAAAGAAATTAATTGGCCAACAATATATATAAAAAATTAGCCGGGCATGGTGGCATGCTTGTAGTCCTAGCTATCGGGAGGAGGCCAGAGGAGGATTGCTTGAGCCCAGGAGTTTGAGGTTGCTGTGAGCTAGGGTGACGCACAGCACTCACTCTAGCCTGGGCAACAAAAAAGAATTAGAACATATCTACATAGCACATATCTCCTATTCACTTATTAAGATGAACTAAAATCTTGTTTGGCAGATTCTGAGAGCTTAGGAAATGACTTACAATGCTGAAAAATTCACTGGGAATTCAAATCCTGAATATAAAATATGTAACTTAAAAACAAACCACTTCTGTTTTCAGTCTTTTAAATTACATATGGACTCTCATGTGAGTCTTTTGTAATATGAAAGATATTAATTCTGATATTTGAATCCCATAAACCCAAACTGAATAACACTAACATTTTTTTTCGGTTTCTTTCTGCATGTGTATGTTTAATTTATGAACAGAAGGTCAGGGGAGGGCACTGATCTCCCCATCCTTCCTGCCGACGCTTGGGCCTTGAGATGTACAGGATTACTTTCCTGAATACTAAATTTTTAAAGATGTTTTTTGTGAATTAAAAAAATACTAGAAAAACTGTATTTGGAAAACTGTACAAAATAACACTTAACTAAGATTATTAAAAATAAATAATTATCCTTAAGTACCAAAAACCTAGCCTTAGAAATTCTGAATTAAAGTACATTAAGTCTTGCCAAGATCCTTAACATTGTGTTATTTATTTGCTGCACAGTGCCAAAGGACTAACCACTCAACACCACAAAAACTAATAAGGCTACCCATTGGTTTCAACTCTGCACAACAATGTCCAAGACTGGGAAGTAAAAAATAACTTAGAAATTAGTGTGTTAAGATCATGCACTTTATAAATGGACTTCTGTTAATCATACATTTATATTTTCTATTTAAAATGAGAATAAAGAGCCCTTATAATTATTAGAAAAAGAAAAATCAGCCAGAGGGTATCACTATGTCACACTGTAAGTAAATATTAATATTCTATAACAATTGAAGAATAAAAAATGGCTAAATTATAACCACATAATTTGGCTTATTAAGTAAGCAGGAAACTGACTTATAGAACACAACAAGTTAAGTTCTAAGTTGAACTTAACCAGTACAAGTTGACCATCCTAAATAGAAAATCCAAAATCTGAAGAGCTCCAAAATTCTGAACAATTTTGAGCATGACATATGATGCATAAGTGGAAAATTCCATACCTGACCTCATGTGGATGGGTCACCATCAAAATGCAATGAACATTTTGTTTTCATGCACAAAATTACTGCATGGGTCTTATTCCAAAGATATCTCATCTATGCATTGCAAATATTCCAAAATCTGGAAAAATCCAAATCTGAACACTTGTGGTCTCAAGAGTTTCAGATAAAGGTATATTTGACCTGTATAGTCAATTAAGCCTCGGAAATTCCTTTAGAGAACACCCTGGTAAAGACTCTTTCAATAAGCCCAACACAGCCAGTTTTCTCTGGTATCAGACTAAATCAGATTTCTTTGAGGTAAAGTACAGATGAAATAGTTGGTTTATATTTGGGAGCCATGCTGTATTAAAAAAAGTTATCTTTAAAACTACAATCGATATACTGAATGAGGTTAAATGCTAAGCTATGAATAAAGTGGCAATGCAGGCAGTGATGCTGCAAAAGGAAGAACAGATTCACTTTCCCCATTCTAGGCTCATTCTGGAGAATATATTCTTTCAGTAGAATTGTATTTAGAAGTCTGTACAACATTTCAACTACTAATATTTTTTTTCTCTCAGGGCCTATAGTTGAATTCACCTAGTTAATTGTGCAATATGATACGACTGCACTTAATATACTTTACAGATCATAAAGAGAAAAAAGCTTTAGGTATTTGGAATATTCACAAATATGAAAGAATAAATAGTGTTACCCTATTAGTCTGTAAGCATCTATTCACTAAGTATATAGGAAGATCTAGCAAATTTGAGAACTAAAAAACAAGCACTACAGAGAGAAAAAAGATACCCCCCTCCTTTTTAAAAAAGAAGAGTTCATCATCAAAATAATACTAGGGGCTAGGATTACAGGCGTGAGCCACCGCGCCCGGCCATGGGTATGTTTAAATGCAGACACATACACACAAGTGCCTACAGCTACAGGATTGAAATAAATACTTAGACTTAGGTCTTTTTTAAAAACTGTTTTGACAGAAAAGGACTTTTTTAGCCATAAATCCTGCAGACCCCAACCCAAGCTGCGGCCGGTTAGGAAACAGGCTGCGTAAAATCACAGCCTGAGCTCTGCCCCACCGACCCCACACCTTGACCCCTGGGTCCATGGAAATACTGTCTTCCATGAAACTGGTCCTTGGTGCCAAAAAGGTTGGGACCAGGGCTCCAAAAAGAAAAAAAAAAAAAAAGTCAGTGGATTAACTAGACATTTCTACAGGAATGTACATCATAACAATAAACATACCAAAGTGTGCTGAGCCACTGCTACTTTTACTTTGCGTAGAGGTACTGCATGTCTGGGTCCCAGGTTGTGCTGTTCCTGTTCGATTTATACTCCTATGTAATTTTCTACAGGAGAGTTCATCATTGTCACTGTCATGTAGGGATGGTGTCCGAGGCCTAAAATGCCGCCATCTACGTGATTTTATATTGACTAGTATCTGACTGAGGTCTTTAGAGAAGGTTTTGTCCGAGGTATTTGTTTCTGAGGTATTGGCAAACTGATTGACTGGAGAATGCTGTGGTGAGGAAAGTATGTCCAAATCCAGATGGCGAAACATGCTGTTATAGTCTGAATGAGCTCTGTCCAGTAAGACCCTATTAAAAATAAAATGTGAAACATATATTTAAAATAGCTATTCAAAGATTATATAAAAAAGGTTTTTCTTTCTTTTTCCCAACTCCCAAAAAGCCAACTCATACTGAATATTTAAAAGCTACAAAGTTGATTACTTCAGTATTTGGCTCTTTTTTTTTATTTTGGGAGACAGAGTCTCGCTTTGTTGCCCAGGCTAGAGTGAGTGCTGTGGCGTCAGCCTAGCTCACAGCAACCTCAAACTTCTGGGCTCAAGCGATCCTCCTGCCTCAGCTTCCGAAGTAGCTGGGACTACAGGCATGTGCCACCATGCCGCCTGGCTAATTTTTTCTATATATATTAGTTGGCCAATTAATTTCTTTCTATTTATAGTAGAGATGGGGGTCTCGCTCTTGCTCAGGCTGGTTTCGAACTCCTGACCTCGAGCAATCAGCCTGCCTCTGCCTCCCAGAATGCTAGGATGACAGGTGTGAGCCACCACGCCCGGACAATGCTCACCTTTTAAATGTTCTTTGGCAAACACAAATCAAATGGGTTTTACAACTGATGTGGATATGCCTACTTAAGTAGTACAGCAAGACAGTTTACATAAAAAAGACCATTATAAAATCCTTAGGAAGTTGAAGTTATATACTTCAACTTTTCTATTTTAAGGGGTAGAGCAGATTAGGATTGATGAAACATGTCTATTTTCTTTGAAAAGTCTCAAAAATTTTATACAGCTTAGAAAGCTTAATTAACAGGGAAAAAAACTACTGTAAGTTTACACTGTTAAAATCTCTATACTAGCACTATATGTAAATCGTTCTTCATTGAAAATTTCATTATTGTGACTTTTAAGAGGATAAGAGAAGAACTGGCTTTTGGTGATAAAGACCCTAAAAATTAATGGGATTTATAAATAACATCTTAGGCCTCAGAATAACTGATTTTCTTCTACTTGATTTCTGAGGTATGATTATTTTTCTCATGAACCGAAAGACTTACATTTCATAGAAGTACAGGTGACCCTTGAATAACGGGGTTTGAATTGTGTGGGTCCACTTACACATACGTGGCTTCTCTTCTGCCCTGCCACCCTGAGATGGCAGTGCCAACCCCTTCTCTTCCTTATTGGCCTGCTCAACATGAACACCTTTATGATGATCCACTTCCACTTAATGAATAGTAAACATCTGCTCTTCCTTAAATTTCCTTACTAATGTTTTCTTTTCTCTAGCTTACTTTATTGTAAAACTATAGTATACAATACATATAATATATAAAATATGTGTTAACTGACCATGATACAGGTAAGTAAGGTTTACTTACTTACAGCCAACAGTAGGTAATTAGCAGTTAAGTTTTTGGGGAGTCAGAAGTTATACCTGGATTTTTGACTGTGTGAGGGGGGTTGGTTCCCCTAATCTCCAGGTTGTTTATGGGTCAACTGTATCTTTTTTAAATCACCAAATAAATTAGTTTATGGAACATTTTTTCTGGAGATCTTTAAGAAAAAGAGAAATTTTTCATATTTCTAAGGCAGTTTAGCTGTAGCCTACCAGGTCATTAGGGAAACAGAGTAAATATCTTTATAGTCCTTTCAAAATCTAAATTAAAATTTTATCTTTACAAAAATCTGTAGTAACATAACAGTGAGTTTCTATAATCTATATGCTTCACATAATACAGACTTATGCTTTAAAACAGAAAGCTAAGATTACAGGAATATTTTAAAGAGACAGCATTCATTTTATACATATTTCACATTGTAGCTATAAGAAAGATATTATCTGAAAATATATCCGAAAATATTAAAACAACCCTTTAACCTAAATATTATTCTCTGAAAAATTGGTTTCTCTCATAAATTATTCTGAATTATTGTGTTAACACATAAGGTTAAGCAAATCTACTTATTTGCTGGTCTCTACATTTAAGCTGACTAGGTAAAAGACTAGAGAAGTGTTCAACCATAAAACAATTAACAATTTAGGGCCCATTTTCTTTTCATATTATTTGAAAATATAATGAATATTGTGGTTCACAGACTGCAGTCAAGAAATAAATGGTAATAAACCACTTTTGTATGTGGGTATGTTTATTTTTATTTTATTTTTTTTTTTATTTTTTTTGAGACAGAGTCTCACTTTGTTGCCCAGGCTAGAGTGAGTGCTGTGGCATCAGCCTAACTCACAGCAACCTCAAACTCCTGGGCTCAACCAATCCTCCTGCCTCAGCCTCCCGAGTAGCTGGGACTACAGGCATGTGCCACCATACCCGGCTACCCTCCTCCAATCTTTAACACTGAAGATGAAAAAACTTCTTTTTCTGTCTAAGGTCAAACAGATTAGTAGTAGTAGAAAGAATAAAAAACCCAAATCAATGAGATTTTAAATTAAAAAAGAAATAGCCAAAAACTCTTTTGGATTTAATATTATTTACAAGAAATAATCGAACATTTTATGTACCAATAGTATGAATCAAGTGCTTAAAAAAAACTCATATGTAGAGTAACTTACAATTCTACGTAGAGAAGAATTATGTGTGGGATATGATTAAAAACTAAGAATGTTTAAATGGGAACTGGGACTGGGGAAGGATGAGAGGATTTCAAATATGTGAAGAACATTATGGTGCTGGGGACTGAGTAATCTTAGTATGCTTTCATGAGCAAAACAGGAACCTGTAGGTTTATATTTAAACCAGCCTGAGCAAGAGCGACACCCCCGTCTCTACTATAAATAGAAAGAAATTAATTGGCCAACTAATATATATAGAAAAAATTAGCCGGGCATGGTGGCACATGCTTGTAGTCCTAGCTACTCGGGAGGCCGAGGCAGGAGGATTGCTTGAGCCCAGGAGTTTGAGGTTGCTGTGAGCTAGGGTGACGCCACAGCACTCACTCTAGCCTGGGCAACAAAAGAATTAGAACATATCTACATAGCCACATATCTCCTATTCACTTATGAAGATGAACTAAATCTTTGTTGCAGATTCTGAGAGCTTAGGAAAATGACTTACAATGCTGATAAAATTTCACTGGGAATTCAAATCCTGAATATAAAATTGTAACTTAAAAACAAACCACTTTCTGTTTTCAGTCTTTCTAAATTACATACGGACTCTCATGTGAGTCTTTTGTAATTATGAAAGATATTAATTCTGATATTTGATATCCCATAAACCCAAACTGAATAAACACTACATTTTTTTTCGGGTTTCTTTCTGCATGTGTATGTTTAATTTATGAACAGAAGGTCAGGGAGGGGGCACTGATCTCCCCATCCTTCCTGCCGACGCTTGGGCCTTGAGATGTACAGGATTACTTTCCTGAATACTAAATTTTTAAAGATGTTTTTGTGAATTAAAAAAATACTAGAAAACTGTATTTGGAAACTGTACAAATAACACATTAACTAAAGATTATTAAAAATAAATAATTTATCCTTAAGTACCAAAAACCTAGCCTTAGAAATTCTGAATTAAAGTACATTAAGTCTTGCCAAGATCCTTAACATTGTGTTATTTATTTTGCTGCACAGTGCCCAAAGGACTAACCACTCAACACCACAAAACTAATAAGGCTACCCATTTGGTTCCAACTCTGCACAACAATGTCCAAGACTGGGAAGTAAAAAATAACTAGAAAAGTTAGTGTGTTAAAGATCATGCACTTTATAAATGGACTTCTGTTATCATCATTTATAATTTTCTATTTAAAAATGAGAATAAAGAGGCCCTTATAATTATTTAGAAAAGGAAAAATCAGCCCAGAGGGTATCACTATGTCACACTGTAAGTAAATATTAATATTTATAACAATTGAAGAATAAAAAATGGCTAAATTATAACCCACATAATTTGGCTTATTAAGTAGCAGGAAACTGACTTATAGCACACACAAAGGTTAAGTTCTAAGTTGAACTTAACCAGTACAAGTTGACCATCCCTAACTGAAAATCCAAAATCTGAAGAGCTCCAAAATTCTGAACAATTTGAGCATTGACATATGATGCCATAAGTGGAAAATTCCATACCTGACCTCATGTGGATGGGTCACCATCAAAATGCAATGAACATTTTGTTTCATGCACAAAATTACTGCATGGGTCTTATTCCCAAGATATCTCATTATGCATGTGCAAATATTCCAAAATCTGGAAAAATCCAAATCTGAAACACTTGTGGTCTCAAGTGTTTCAGATAAAGGATATTTGACCTGTATAGTCAAAATTAAGCCTCGGAAATTCCTTTAGAGAACACCCTGGTAAAGACTCTTTCAATAAGCCCAACACAGCCAGTTTTTCTCTGGTATCAGACTAAATCAGAGTTTCTTTGGGTAAGTAACAGATGAAATAGTTTGGTTTATATTTGGGAGCCATGCTGTATTAAAAAAAAAGTTATCTTTAAAACTACAATTATACTGAATGAGGTTAAATGCTTAAGCTATGAATAAAGTGGCAATGCAGGCAGTGATGCTGCAAAAGGAAGAACAGATTCACTTTCCCCATTCTAGGCTCATTCTGGAGAATATATTCTTTCAGTAGAATTGTATTTAGAAGTCTGTACAACATTTCAACTACTAATTTTTTTTTTCCTTCAGGGGCCTATAGTTGAATTCACCTAGTTAATTGTGCATATGATACGACTGCACTGTAATATACTTTACAGAGCATAAAGAGAAAAAAGCTTTAGGTATTTGGAATATTCACAAATATGAAAGAATAAATAGTGTTACCCTATTAGTCTGTAAGCATCTATTCACTAAGTATATAGGAAGATCTAGCAAAATTTGAGAAACTAAAAACAAGCACTACAGAGAGAAAAAAAGATACCCCCCCTCCTTTTTTTTAAAAAAGAAGAGTATCTATATATAGGGGGGAGGAAATGATTGGTAAGAAAAACTACAAGGTTACTAAAGACCTTTTTTCAGCTAAACTTTTGGTAATGCTTTTATTTTATTATTTTATTTTATTTTATTTTATTTTATTTTATTTTATTTTATTTTATTGACAGGGTCTCACTCTGTTGCCCGGGCTAGAGTGAGTGCTGTGGCATCAGCCTAGCTCACAGCAACCTCAAACTCCTGGGCTCAAGGGATCCTCCTGCCTCAGCTTCCGAAGTAGCTGGGACTACAGGCATGTGCCACCATGCCTGGCTCATTTTTTCTATATATATTAGTTGGCCAATTAATTTCTTTCTATTTATAGTAGGAGTCTCGCTCTTGCTCAGGCTGGTTTCGAACTCCTGGCCTCGAGCAATCAGCCTGCCTCTGCCTCCCAGAATGCTAGGATGACAGGTGTGAGCCACCACGCCCGGACAATGCTCACCTTTTAAATGTTCTTTGGCAAACACAAATCAAATGGGTTTTACAACTGATGTGGATATGCCTACTTAAGTAGTACAGCAAGACAGTTTACATAAAAAAGACCATTATAAAATCCTTAGGAAGTTGAAGTTATATACTTCAACTTTTCTATTTTAAGGGGTAGAGCAGATTAGGATTGATGAAACATGTCTATTTTCTTTGAAAAGTCTCAAAAATTTTATACAGCTTAGAAAGCTTAATTAACAGGGAAAAAAACTACTGTAAGTTTACACTGTTAAAATCTCTATACTAGCACTATATGTAAATCGTTCTTCATTGAAAATTTCATTATTGTGACTTTTAAGAGGATAAGAGAAGAACTGGCTTTTGGTGATAAAGACCCTAAAAATTAATGGGATTTATAAATAACATCTTAGGCCTCAGAATAACTGATTTTCTTCTACTTGATTTCTGAGGTATGATTATTTTTCTCATGAACCGAAAGACTTACATTTCATAGAAGTACAGGTGACCCTTGAATAACGGGGTTTGAATTGTGTGGGTCCACTTACACATACGTGGCTTCTCTTCTGCCCTGCCACCCTGAGATGGCAGTGCCAACCCCTTCTCTTCCTTATTGGCCTGCTCAACATGAACACCTTTATGATGATCCACTTCCACTTAATGAATAGTAAACATCTGCTCTTCCTTAAATTTCCTTACTAATGTTTTCTTTTCTCTAGCTTACTTTATTGTAAAACTATAGTATACAATACATATAATATATAAAATATGTGTTAACTGACCATGATACAGGTAAGTAAGGTTTACTTACTTACAGCCAACAGTAGGTAATTAGCAGTTAAGTTTTTGGGGAGTCAGAAGTTATACCTGGATTTTTGACTGTGTGAGGGGGGTTGGTTCCCCTAATCTCCAGGTTGTTTATGGGTCAACTGTATCTTTTTTAAATCACCAAATAAATTAGTTTATGGAACATTTTTTCTGGAGATCTTTAAGAAAAAGAGAAATTTTTCATATTTCTAAGGCAGTTTAGCTGTAGCCTACCAGGTCATTAGGGAAACAGAGTAAATATCTTTATAGTCCTTTCAAAATCTAAATTAAAATTTTATCTTTACAAAAATCTGTAGTAACATAACAGTGAGTTTCTATAATCTATATGCTTCACATAATACAGACTTATGCTTTAAAACAGAAAGCTAAGATTACAGGAATATTTTAAAGAGACAGCATTCATTTTATACATATTTCACATTGTAGCTATAAGAAAGATATTATCTGAAAATATATCCGAAAATATTAAAACAACCCTTTAACCTAAATATTATTCTCTGAAAAATTGGTTTCTCTCATAAATTATTCTGAATTATTGTGTTAACACATAAGGTTAAGCAAATCTACTTATTTGCTGGTCTCTACATTTAAGCTGACTAGGTAAAAGACTAGAGAAGTGTTCAACCATAAAACAATTAACAATTTAGGGCCCATTTTCTTTTCATATTATTTGAAAATATAATGAATATTGTGGTTCACAGACTGCAGTCAAGAAATAAATGGTAATAAACGACTTTTGTATGTGGGTATGTTTATTTTTATTTTATTTTTATTTTTTTTATTTTTTTTGAGACAGAGTCTCACTCTGTTGCCTAGGCTAGAGTGCTGTGGCGTCAGCCTAGCTCACAGCAACCTCAAACTCCTGGGCTCAAGCAATCCTCTGCCTCAGCCTCCCGAGTAGCTGGGACTACAGGCATTTGCCACCATGCCCGGCTAATTTTTTTTTTTTCTATATATATTAGTTGGCCAATTAATTTCTTTCTATTTATAGTAGAGATGGGGGTCTCGCTCTTGCTCAGGCTGGTTTCGAACTCCTGACCTCGAGCAATCAGCCCACCTCTGCCTCCCAGAGTGCTAGGGTGACAGGTGTGAGCCACCGCGCCCAGCCAGTATTTGGCTCTTACAGGCTAAAATCTCACTTGCTAATAAAGGTTCTTTTTTCAAATTATTTTCAACCAAAGAGTTTCACTTCCATTTCAAAGCACCAAAACAAACATTTTATAAAATTTTGCTGACATATTTGTTTCATATTTAAGCAAAAACTACATTCTTTTTTGGTGGGAGGGGGAATGAAGGAAAAAAGCAGAAGACATGTGATATTACATACCATTAAAATTTCTTGTAGACAAAATATTTGAGATCTATTACTCTAGAGGGAGATTGATTGATTGATTTCCCATGAAGGGACAGGGTCTCCCTCTGTTGCCCAGGCTAGAGTACAGTAGCATGATCACAGGTCACTGAAGCCTCAAATTCCTGGGCTCAAGCAATCCTCCTGCCTCAGCATCCTGAGTAGCTTGGACTGCAGGCAAGCTATTTTATTAGTTAATACAGTAGCTGATATAATATAAAATACCTGGCAAATCCAGCTACTTTTTAAATAATTTTGCGGAGACGGGGTTTTACACTCCTGGCCTCAAGTGATTCTACCATCTCAGTCTCCTAAGTTAAGGGGATTATAGGTGTGAGTGCCTGGTTATAGGATATATTTTTATGCTATTTATATAAACTTTACAAATGACTCCATCTTAACATGCTAACAATGATGAACGCTAGTAATAAAGTATAGCCAATGTGAATTTTTACTACTACTGATGTCAACATAATGACATCATAATGAATAAATAAAACGTATTTTAGTTCTCAGATAATTCTAAACTAACATTTAAGAGATTAAAACCTAAAATTAAAAACTAAAAATGAAAGAAACCTATATATAATCTATTAATTTATTATAAATTATACTCTCGGGTTTCTTTCTGAAAGCACCTGGATACCATTTTCTGTTTTGCCTTTTGATTTTTTTCTATATTTATACATTAATGTCTTTCCTTTTCTTTGTGTCTATGTTCTATAATTCCTTTGCTCCCTCCATACAAACAACTTCTCACACAAAGGCATTCGGAGTATAGAGGAGTCCTATCAGGTTTAAAGAAAGGAAGGACAATTAGATCCTGACAGGCTGGGATGCCAGGATAGGTCCTGCACAGATCCCTTTCATTGATGAGCTAAGCTATCCATTATGTTAGTTAAGGTGACAATTCTGAGTACATTTTATCTCCTTTCCCAGTATGTCAGAATTCTTAAAATACCTTTTTGTAGTTTCTTTAACATAATACAACGTGTGCAATCATGAACTACAGTTGTTTTCATCTGTTGCCTTTTCTCAGAATTCTCTATCTCTTGATAATTTATCTGAGGTTTTCAATCTTGGGGAGAAAAGGTTTTCAATCCATTAGGGGACCCATTAGTTAGGCATTAAAAGCTATGATTGTGTAAGAACCAGGTAGCAAAGTGGCAAAACTATTTTAGTCAACAAATCAGGTAAGAACAGCAAACAGGAGCTAATGAGCTGTTTGAAAAGATTATCTGGCTTTAAACTTTAGATTTGATTACCCAAAATATCCCTATACTAGGAAGGAATACGGAAATATCTTACCTTCCACCACGCCCAACCCGTCGTCGTGCAAATCCAACACACCTTTGGGGTACGGTGAGAGTAGTTAAGCAGTATCTATAACGCACATCCCCTAATCCTCCATCTTCAGGACTTGTCCAAGGCCAGTTGCCAGTTTGGTCTAAGTGAGGCTTGAAAAAAAAAATCCATATTATTTTATTTTGCCAATTAGAGGTAAACAGTTTTTATTTAAAAAGAGAGTCTGACACTTACAGCATAGTACTGACAGCCTGCTTTCCTACGGAAAGCAAAAGGACCATCAGGATCATTCTCTTCCTCAGCTTCTGAAGAGCCAGACAAAACCTTTAAGTAAAATAAATAAAGTAGGTCAAATATGTGACTTCCTACATTCCTCCCCTATATTCGTAGAGAAATTCTTAGTTTTACCTGGGAGAGAGGTTCTTCGTCTGAGCTGGGAAAGTCATACTGATTCAAATCTTTAGAATTGAAGACTGGCAGTGCAGCAGGACTCGTCTGTTGGGGGGTAGCAGCAGACGACGGTAAGACTTTGGGCTTCTTTTCATATTTCCGTTTCGGTCGGATAAGATCGGCTTTATCTTGCTGCAACAAAATGTGAATTAATTATTCACCAGAAACCATGTTCAACAAACTTGCAGTTTGTTTTTTTTTTAAATTTAAAAAACAAGTTTATTGCTATAACGAAGGCATTCATACTCATTAAAGACACCAGAGTCTTAATGTTTGGCCACCTTCTATTGTAAAGTCTTAGAAAAGCTGGCCTCGCAGATGGCCTGTGAAAGCATGAATACGTCCTACAATCTAAACATTATCCTATAAAACTATCTTGTTTCCATTCAAGCAAAAGGAGAGAATGTAAGTTCTCTAGCTTCTGAAGTCCTATAACTACAATTAGTATTTACCACTGGCTTATCTACTTTTTCTTAATTTCCCATGAAAATTCTAGGAGAAAATTTTTAAAAAGCGATGTCTCATACTTACTCTCAAGAAATAACAAATCAATATAAGGACAATAATAATGAAAACAATCTTATATACATACAAAGCAAACTACAGATAACTGTTAACATAGTGGAAAATAAAGCCATAATGCTGAGGGGTTATAGCAATATAGAGCTGTAAGGATTTGCTAGTTGAACAATGAAGGCTTTTGGAGTGGTGAATTGTGAGCAGCTTTAGAGGATAAAGATATGAAATCACTAAATAGGGGAAACACAGGGATAAAACACAAAGGCAGGAGAGACTGAGTTGATGGAACACAGCACGTATTAGAATATGTATTGCTGATGACAGCAAAGGTTAACAGTATGGATTTGATATGCAGGCAATAATAGGTAAGGAAGAACAGATAAAAATTATATTTGCTGGGAAGAAAAAGATCATGGCAAGTATCATGGTTATTTAAATATACTACATATTTATGTTAAGTTGTATATAGTTCATGGCATAGTTTTTTAGGAGAAGTTAACTATTAAATACAAAATGTCCAATTTCAAATCAAAAGTTTAGTTTATTATATCTCATACAAGAAGCAGTACAATTAATCAAAGTATGCACCTAAACTGTCAACAAGTCTTGCTATCTTAAAGGTAGCTTGTTTATGCCTGCAGCAAAAAAGTCTGGAGAGTGAGTGTGATGAAATCATGAAAGGCATTTTCCACAGCTTGTTGAGAATTGAATAGTTTTCCTTACAAATGATCCAAAGCCTGGAAGAAGTGGTAGTCAGTTGGTGCAAGGTCTGGTGAATGTGGTGGATGGCAGAGTGTTTCCAAGTCCAGCTGCTGTTGTTTGAGAAGTGTTGTTTGTGCGACACATGAAGTGTTGTCTTGCAAGGAGATTGGCCTGTCTCTAGTGACCAATCTCAGCTGCTTAATCACAAGCATCCACATCATTTCATCCAACTGGTTGCAGTAGACATCCGCTGTAATCAACTGACTGGGTCTCATGAAACTCTAGTGGACAATACCAGCACTGGACCACCAGACACCATTAGCTTTTTTTTTGAGACAGAGTCTTGCTTTGTTGCCTGGGCTAGAGTGAGTGCTGCGGCATCAGCTTATTAGCTCACAGCAACCTCAAACTCCTGGGCTCAAGGGATCCGCCTGCCTTAGCCTCCTGAGTAGCTGGGACCACAGGCCATGTGCCACAATGCCTGGCTAATTTTTTCTATATATTTCTAGTTGTCCAGCTAATTTCTTTCTATTTTTAGTAGAGATAGGGTCTTGCTCTTGCTCAGACTGGTCTTGAACTCCTGACCTTGAGTGATCCTCCCGCCTCGGCCTCCCAGAGTGTTAGGATTACAGGCGTGAGCCACTGCACCCGGCCCCATTAGCTTTTTTTGATGAATGTTTAGTTTCAGACTGTTTCGGCACTTCATCTTTATCCAACCATTGTGCTGAACACTCTTGACTGTCAAAAAGAATCCATTTTTCATCACACGCGACAATACCGTCTAGAAATGGTTCGTCTTTATGTCGTGACAGCGAAGAAACGCAAGCTTCAAGACAATCTCTCTTCTGACACTCATTTAATTCATGCGGTACCCACCCACCTATTCAGTTTCTTTACCTTGCCCATTTGTTTCAAATGATCCAATATTGTTGGAATAGTGATGTCAAACCTTGCTGCTAATTCACACATAGGTTGAGATGGATTCGCTTCCACTACAGCTTTCAGCTCATCATTATCCACCGTGCTCTCAGGTTGCCCATGTAGCTTTTTCAAGATTAAAATCACCAGAACAGAACCTGTCAAACCATTGATGTACTATGTGTTCATTAGCCACATCCTTCCCAAACACTTCATAGATATTTCAAGCTGTCTGCACAGCATTTGTTCCATAATGGAACTCATATTTGAAAATAAGATGAATTTTTGACTTATCCATGGTTTCACAAAAATTGCTCTAAAAAATTTGAAAAATAATCACAAGCCAAACCATGCATTTGAAAGAATGAGGATGTACCTTCACAATAAAAATAAAACAAGAAGTGTCAAAGTGAAATGTCAGAGATATCAACTGTCTGACTTATTAAGGAAATTGGACATTTCATACTTAATAACCCAATATAAGGCATTGCTCTACAATTTCTTCTGCTGTACTGACAGGACAAACTTGAATCAAAAGCTTGCTATAGCAGTGCAAAATATTATTTAAGAGTTAATACTAATGGTCAGCTAGAATAGTACTGTAGTGTGTTATTATCTACTACTTTTCTTACAAGTATAATTCAAAAGCTTCATCTTATTCAATAAACTCTGGGATCCAATTACTTAAACTATAATAAAAAGTATCAATATAACAGAAGCCCCATTAATAATTGTCTTAATTTAGAATAATTTAAAGTAAATCACTTTCAAGTGTGAGGGCTCGCACTTCTGGCACATATAGAAGAAAGTATATAATAGGCCAATTAAAAGAATTTAATCTTAAAATAAAAAATCTGAAAGATAATACTGAAGTAGTTTACAAAGTCAGACAAGGGTACCACAGAGTTAAAATCCTAAAAGTGGGAAAATTCTATTAAATTTTAAAAATATAGTTAGGACTAATAAATATGTACAAATACAAAATTCAAATAAATTATGTACTTTTTAAATATAGGAAATATTTTGCAGCATACCCTTAACTTTCTAGATTATCCAAGAGAATAACTCTTTATTCTCCTACCCACCCTTCCACCACTATTTTTTTAATCAAAATGTCTATGTATTCTCACAAAATAGTCTCTGGCACTGCTCAATATGACAAAAAATAAATGAAAATAAAAATTCCAGGCTGGGGCAATCATCACTCTAACTGGTAACTGGTATGCCAAATTGTACATTCAGGTTTGAAGGTCTGTTTCACAATAATAAAAAAATTGCAGAAACATGATATTAAACAACATGGGAGATAAAACTGATGGTAGACTCACCCACTCCCCAAACTGAACCCATATGGTGAATATGGTGAGTTTTAAGTTTCATGAAGAATTTCACACAAAAATTACATAACTTACTTTTTCCACAGATGCACACTTCCCATGAAGGTGCTACTTAATTCACTGCTTTATTTCCCTTCACTAATTTTATTTCTCCTTAGCAATTTTATTCTTTACAAGTTATGAAGTATTTGATAAAGTACTAATTTGCCAAGTATTTCCATTTCTGAACAATTGTCTATATTACAAACTACTAAAAAGAGATACCTGTTACTTCTTACACATTGATGTGTCCACAAAAGATGAGATATATTCATTCTATGAGGAGGGATTTTATGTCCTTCTCCCTAAACCTCCATATTCTGTATGAATTATTTCAATCATAATCTATAACTAGTAAAATATTCCTTTTATTACAGTAATAAAATCTTCCCTTTATAAGAACATAATAGAAACAAAAATAAAATTTTAATTATAAATTTCTGCTTTTCTTCATAATATGACATAATCATGAAAGTCTTACAGCATACTTCATAGTAGGGTTTATATGTATTTTTCTTTTTTACGCTTACTCTATTATCACGAAAACTTTAATCACCTTATTAACTTTGAAATCCTTCACATCCATTGTTTCCTGATGTTTAAACTGACTGCTATTAGCAATAGGGATGATGGGGATGGCGTACGTAGGTTTCACTGGCTGTCTCTGTGCCATAACCTCAGACATGATCTCTCCATTGTAGTCACCCAAATTATACCTACAATTGTAAAAAAAAAAAAAAAAAAAAGATTAAAATTATATATATTCAATGTATATAATGTGCTGTTTTGACATACATATATTATGAAATGATTACCACAATCAAGCTAATTAATATATCCATCACCTCACAGTTACCCTCTGTGTGTGTGTGAGATGAGATTACTTAAGATATACTCTTTCAGCAAATTTTAAGTATACAATGCACTTTTATTAACCATGCTGTACATTAGGTCTCCAGAACTTACTCGTTTCTTAACTGTAAGTTTATATTCTTTGATCAACATATAAAATATATAATTTTTACTTGTCAATTATACCTACAAAGCTGGAAAAAGAAGAAAGTTTAAAAAGTTAGCTTTGTGAGTACTTTTCCTTATATGACCATTAATAACTTACTAGGGTATGATTATAAACATCAGTGAGACCTAAGGCAAGATTACAGTTAAACCATGACTATTGGCTAAATGTCTACTAAAATTAAAGAGTACATAATTCCTTTTATTTCTTTCTTCTACTTGTTTGGATTATCTTGGCACATACATAGATGACTGTGGAAAACAAAACCAAAGGTTGAAATTTTTTTTTTTTTTTTTTTTGAGACAGAGTCTCACTCTGTTGCCTGGGCTAGAGTGCTGTGGTGTCAGCCTAGCTCACAGCAACCTCAAACTCCTGGGCTCAAGCAATCCTACTGCCTTAGCCTCCCGAGTAGCTGGGACTATAGGCATGTGCCACCATGCCCGGGTAATTTTTTCTATGTATTTTTAGTTGTCCAGCTAATTTCTTTCTATTTTTAGTAGAGATGGGGTCTCACTCTTGCCAAAGGTTGGAATTTTAACTTAGCAATTTTGGTGAAAGATTTGGTGGAGTTGAAACTAATACCTAAAATGGTGCTGAGGAACTTTCTGCTAATTAGAATTGCCTGTGCAATTTTTTTTTTCACTTCTTTTTATTTTTTCCCCCAAGGCTAGATAATTTAGCCTGTGTAATTTTCTTATTTTTCTAAAAGGAATCACAAGAAATTTAATAATGGTTTTCTGTGGGGATAGGGACTGAGAAACAGGGCAGGTGGCTTGAAGTTTTCATTGTGCACCTTGCCAAACGGTTGAGTGTTAATATTTATGGGCCTTTTCTCTTCCTTCTTTATACTTTTCTACTTAAAAACCCAGTATTTTAAATTATAAATATATTGAAAAAGAATCAGTATTATCAAGTAAATAAAATAAATTTTAGAATACGTTTTCTTTTTCACAGTCCTGCATACAACAGAAGGACTAAAAAATAAAAAAGATTTTGAAATGGAAATACTCGGTATAGTTTAACTTTAGTGAACCCAGTCATTTTTAAAGAAAATAAACAGAGGAACACATGTAAAATTATACAAAGTATAGCATCACACCATACATTTAAACAGTCTCTGTTATTAAGAGAAGATATTTCTACATTTACAGATAATTGCATAGGAAAGAAATCAACTCAATATACAAAACATTAATGGTACTATATTTCCTAACGCTATTTAAATATACCTTACCTCTTTTCCATAATTTCCAGTGTTAAGTGCAATAGCTCCCTTTTACTCTTTTCTCGTCTTTTTATCATCTCTAGAATAGTAACAGCTCGACTTAGATCTCGACGCAGCTTAAGCATTTTTTCATAAGAGGCTTCATCATTTTTGCGATTCTGCAAACATGAAGTTGGTTAACATCAAATACTTCTAACTGGTGGCACTGTGAGCATAGTTATTGATACATAAAAATTATATATTTGAAGGGTTAAATCAGAATTTAAAGATACAAAGGGAGCATGGATCACCAGGAAATCAATTTTGTATATAATTTTTAAATGTATTAACATAGAAATATATCATTAACTGCTCCATAATAAATCTTAAGGTTGATTTATTTTACACTAATATTTTTAATTATAATTGTATAGAATGTCATATTAAAGCACAAATTAAACAGTATTAAGATATACATGACTATAAATAATATTTCTTATATTAAAAATACTACCAAAATCCTCAAATTCACTTACTTTTCGAGTCTGCATTTTTTCAGTACGTCTTCTAAAAGCCACGTAAGGATCATTTGTGCTGGAACCATCTCGCTTTTCTTGTTTTACTGATGGGATAAGAGATGGCCCTCGACAGTTTTTTCTCTTTTTAATCCAGTACTCATAAACTTCTCTAATTAATTCATCATCTTCTTTTAGCAGTAGTTTGGCTTCTTGCAGGCTGACTGGCTAAATGTAAAACCATTATGTCATTTTCATATAATAAATATGTAAGGTTCAAAAGTATTTACTTTTAGATTTAAATGACAGTCAAAATTACAACAGCATATAACGAATAGCAAACTTATGTGCAATACCTTATACATGTCAGTCACTGACCTAGGTATTTTATATACATTATTTTATTTAATTTTTACAACAATTCTGGGGAAATTTAGGTACAAGAAAATTTAAACATATTGTCCAAGATTACACAAGTTAGTTAACAGGAAGAGATGAGATTTGAATCCGTGCTTTTTAATTCCAAAGCCTGCTTGCTTACCTTACCATCCCATATTATACTGCTTCCATATAATGCAGATATCTACATAGAATATGCACATACACACTTATATATAAATGAAGTTGTACCTGCTGACCACTGCCTTTTTCTAGACGGTCAATCATCTCTTCAAATTGCAATGGGCAGATTTCCATTTTCTTTTTCAGTTTATTCACAAATACTTCATCTTCAGAATCCAAATCATAATCAGGCTGTTCAGCATCCAAACTAAAAGCTGACAGAAGGAACCACAAGCAATCATTTACTATGTGAAGTCACTGACAAAAACCTCTCACAGATGTCTGGATAAAAACAAGACCTTATATTTTCTAAATAAATAAAGATTTTGTTTTCAGAGCCACAAATAATCTAAAGTCATACATATATCTTCCACATTTAAAGAAAGGAGATTATCTTTACTATGAACATATTAATAGATATAAGTGATTAAAGAAACAAATGTGACCTCCTCTGCCCCTCCTTTTAGCAAATCAACTAGAAGCCCATTATTAAGAACATAAATAAAGAGATCACTGAATGTATGGGGCTGAAACATGTGACAGTGCCATTTCTGTAGCTCAAAAGTCACCACATATCAGTAATTTCATATAGTTTGACATAATATAAAAGAATATGGTCTTTAAGTATGATTTTTTTCTAGAATGTTTAAGTCCTATTTTATAGATTATTTAGCTACTTGACCCAAAGCTCAGGGAGTGGTATTTAAAGCTTAAGTGTTTGAAACCACAACCAAATAACAGTACAGGTCGAGTATCCCTTATCCAAAATGTTTGGGATCAGAAATGTTTCAGATTTTGGAACATTTGCATCCATATAATGAGACATCTTGAGATAGGACCCACATCTAAACACGAAATTAATTTGTTTCATATATACTTTATACACATAGCCTGAAGGTAATTTTATATGATATTTTTAATAATTGTGTGCATGAAACAAAGTGAGACCCATCACAAGGTCGGGTGTGGAATTTTCCACCTGTGGCATCATGCTGGTGCTCAATCAAATTTCTGAGCATTTCAGATTAGGGTTACTTGACTTGTTAAATAGCTATTGTTCAGTGAGTACATTTCCTGCCAAGGAGGTTTGTTCCCTCATGAAAATCATTGTCATGGTGATGGAAATATGAGGTTTATTTCTTAGATATGTTGTCAAGAACCACTGCTCTATACTGTATTATCAAATGTCATACAATTACTTACCCAAATTAAGCTAGGTTGATATAAATATAAGGAAAATATTAAATAGCTTGATATCAAAACTTGTCTCACATCTTTTATTTACTTAATTCCTTCTACTAACCTTAGAGTCCAAATCCTTACAATAGCTGACTGGCCTTTTTTCCTAGTCTCCAGTGTCATCAGTACCTTATGATCTAGTAATATCAAATTTCATATATGTCACACAGCATGCTATTTCATGACTTCAGGCCTTTACATTAGCTATTTTGTTTGCCCATCAAGTAGGCAAATGTCTATTTAATCTTTTTAACACCCAACCTGATACCACTCTTTTAGAATCCTTTCTTGACTGTCTCCTACCCAATAGTGGTTCTTTAACCATTTTTATCTTTTTTAGAAGCTGTGAATCTACTCCCCAGAAAAAAATTATGTAGTAAACATACAATGTTTTGTATAAATTATAGGTAATTCAAATATGACCCCCAAAAGCTGTGGCTCCAAGGTTAAAAATCCTGCTCTAGGTCACTTCCTTTCTTTTGTACTATTTTCTGCACATACTTTATAATCTACTTGTTAAGCATAGCTCCCTATTAGAATGTGATTGAACTCCTTGAGGGGAAACATGTGTCTTATTTTTGTGCTTCTAAGAGAGAGAGAGAAACATGTTTCACCTCCTATGCCATTTCTGCTAGCACTCTACTGAAAAGCATTCTAATGTTACATCTATCTACTAAAATGCGAAAAAACCCCAAACCAGAGAGGACTATTTGGCTGTCAAATATCTACCACCACTGCTTCGAGCATAATACAGTATCTGGTCTGGAGGAATCAAAAAAATATCTGTAGAAGTGAATGTATTATTATACTGTTTTATTTTCCATTTTGACAATGTATCACTTGTATAACATTCCTAATTAAAGCAAATATTCAGACTCACATAAAAATCTCTATAAAAACTGACTCTATAAAAAATGTTAACACCTTTGTACCAATGTTACTTGCAAACATAGGCCCTCCAAAGTTTTTCCACGATCTCATTTTGTCGTTACTATGTAAACAGGCTTTTGCAGATAGTGAAGTTGATTAAGACTCTGCTAGATTAAAAGATATTTTTGTCCCTAACCAAAATAATGCAGATCTGTGTTGTCCAATATGGTAATCACTAGTTATATATAGCAAATTAAATTTATATTAAGTAAATAAAATTTTAAATTCAGTTCCTCAGGTTGTATTAGTTACACTTCAAGTGCTACCCAGCTTCATGTGGCTTGTGGCTAGTGCTGTACCCGATGGCACAAATTACAGAACACGTCCGTTATCACAGTAAATTCTATTAAAAGAATGCTGACCCAGCTAATCCAGAAAGTCAAACTGATAGGGACCAAAGCAGCAATGCTGTGCCTTAAGGTTCTATTTTATGAATCTCATTTATACATTATACTCTGGCATCCTCTATTATATTAAAATGTATTTATTTTCTTTAGATCAAATCACAAGTCAAATTATAATCAAAACGCTTAATTATTCATAAAAACTAAACAAGCTTTCCGAGTATCCCTTACTTCCCATTAAAATACATGTGACATGCTTCTAGTATATATTATATCACCAGTGACACATCACAGCCAGCATCTCAGGGAACTGCATGAAGATCAGAAAGGAAGATTCCTATCCTACGAATCAGAGACTCAGTGTCTTTCCCACTGAAGTTAACAAGGATCTACGGGTCAGAGTGTTCTTGCCTCTGTAAGAGGCTTTTCTTCCAGCCAGTGAGAATTCATCGAAAATCTTAAACATGAGAAGAACCAAATCTTGTTCAGATATAGAATACTAAAATCCTAAAGAAAAGCTAGCACATAAAAATCTACTTAAGGATTTCATTTGACCAAAAAAATCATAGCAAACAACCTTAATGTGTAATTTAGCTTTAGCTGAACCTGCAGCTTCCAACTGACAGCTCACCCCAAGCTGATAAAGATGTAACATATTTATCATGGTCCTAGAAATAGGAGTATCTTCCTATTTCCTGAGTCATGTTATTGAATGTGTTCTAAGTAGAAAACAGGGTCCAAAGAAAAACAGGCAAATGGGTTATCTCTTCTAATTAAGTTCTGTCAATTAAAATGAGACCTCGCTAGTCAATAATTGTTAAATAATGGGAACCACACTATGGAATCTGAATCCTTTTAAAATATTCTGACAAGAAGCCTAGAAATATGTATAGTTAAGCAAAATACAGTATTATATGTGATACACAGATGTAGGAAAAAGTATTACATAAAACAAGTTTAAGTGAAAAGAACACAACAGCACACACTGATTATTTTAAACGAAAATACGGAGCAGTCCAAACCATAGTGCTTAAGAGTGTAGTAACAGAGACAAAATGTTTACAAATGTCTATGTAACAAGTGCCATTTGTGATTCAAACTAAGTGTGCAAAGGTGGATATGTCTGTAATTTCAAATAGCATTTCAAAAATACAGGAAGCAAATAGGGAAAGGATATTCAAGTCCAAGAAACAGCAGAAAATGCAGACAAGGAATAGAACATAATATCCCTGATTGAAAGCAAGGCACACTATTCAAGCTTGAGGAGAAATTTCTCAGCCCAGTTTCAACACAAGCACTAACTCTGAATGATTTGTAGTACCTACTTGAAAAGCTCTTGATAATAAATTCTGAGCAGCAGAAAAGACTGTTGAATGGTGATATTTACTGTAAGGTGGTAAGTACATGATATCCTTGCCTTAGATCTAAGAAGACAAAGATGTCACCGGGTTAGCTAGATCATGAAATCCTTCAACCTCTTGTTTAAAAGCTAGGGCTCAGAGTAACTTCTAGAATGTAGTTAGGGAGAATAAATGGGGAAGACCAGATTTGGAAAACCTTGAAATCCCAGATATAACATCTTTTGTACATAAAGTTCTGTGGCTGATGCTATAGACTTTATCTGCCAGAAAGAAGTACCAGAAGAATATGTTGTAGGACGATGTGGAAGCAGGGAAAGAGAAGAAAATGTAACTTTTCAGAATCAGGGCATAAAGACAGGGTATCTGTACTGAGAGGGAAAGAAAAAGTAGTTTCTACCTTTTTTTTTTTTTTTTTTTAAGGTATCCATTTAAAAACTTTTAGAAGTCCAAACTTACAAGAGTTGCAAGATAAAAAACAGTAAAAAGAATACCTGCATACTGTTTACCCAGATTCACCTACTGTTAACATGTAATTTGCACATGTGCTCGAGCTTGTGCACGCTCTCATTACATGCATGCACACACACTTTATTTTTTCATTTTCTAAACCATCAGAGAATTACATTCGTAATGGCTCTTAACTGCTAAATATTTCAGTGTGTACTTCCTAATAGAATGTTTATGTAAACAGTCATCAACTTCATAAATTTACAGTCATACAACAATCTGTCTATATTCTGTCAGCTGATTCAATAATTTATAACATTTCTCCCTCCAGTACAGGATCACTCCAGGATCAGGTATTACTTTAACTGTTGTTTCTTTAGTCTCCTTTAATCTGGAGCATTTCCACAACCTTTGTCTTTTAAGACACTGATATTTTTTGAAGAACACTGTTGCCCTCCCCAGGACTCTATTACCATTATTATTCTTGTTATTATTAATACATGCCTCACTTTGTATGCCACGATTTTCCCCTATCAGATTAGATTATGCATTCTTGGCTAGAATATCGCACAGTTAATTTTTTTAGTGTTTCTCAGAATATCACATCTGGAGGTACACAATGTTCATCTGTTCCTCGTAAGTGATGATAATTTTGGTCACCAGTCAAGATGTTGCCCAATTACTCCACTGTATAACTGTTTTTTTCTCCTTTTTTTGGTAAATAATAAGCAATTTGTGGGGAGAGCTTGAAACCATGCAAATATCCTATTCCTTATCAAAATTTCCTCCCATACCAAGCATAAATTGATGATTCTAGTGTGATCGAATCTTGATTTATGATAACTACAAAAATGATTTTCCAATTCTAGTATTCTTTTCACAGTGTATCCTTCA